ATAAGCCAATTTTACTATTCTAATTTATCTATTTTTGAAGTAATTCTTCAAAATAATATTAACCCTAACTTTAACTAATCTTAATTATAATAATCAATAATAATGTGAAGGGTAAATTAGTAAACTCATAAATTATGTATAAAATAAATTAATAAAACATATATAATATACGTAAATTTACATATACAAATTATATATATAATATATTTAATTTATGTATTTTATATATCTGTAATTCTGTTTTTTTCTTATATTATATATGTAATAATTATGTATATATTATATTTTATTTATAAATATCAAAAATACATTATTTTTATATACATTTCTGTAAAATATTAATAAAATAATAAATTATAAATTTAGTAATATTATAATATTACGATAAATTAATTATATAAAATTAAAAATTTCTAAGTTTATACAAGAGAGTATATACATAGATTATGTAATATATATATTTATCGCTGGTATCACATTTCTCTGCTTTTAGTTTACTATTTATTCTAGGAACTTAAAATTATTTCAGTGAAAAATTATTATTCATTATAAATTATCCATCACATAGTTATTATACAGATATTTTTTAATTTTTTTATATTAATAAAAGTAATATTAATACTAGCTGTATCATATGATCTGTATACAATACACCTATAAACAAATAGAAATTGCTTATAAAATTATATATAAATTATATATAAAATATTCTTAATTTATATATTTTATATATTAGACATAGAATATTATGCATGTTGATCATAGCAAATGATATTTCATAATATGTCAATCAAATGATCAGCAAAATTTTATATGTTTTTATTACTATTTTTACTTTTTCTATTAATAAGATATGTAACCTCACTATACTTTAATAAATTTTTTTTAAAACATATTCTTTAGATTCGTAAAAATTATTTTATCAATTTAAAAAAACAAATATTTCTATCATTTCTAGATGGATCTTGTTATAAAAATGAGCAATTCTACTTTTTAGTTTATTAAGATTTTTTTTAAGCACTGTAAAAAAAGCTATAGCATTTTATAAATGCAATAAAAATAAATTAAAATACCCTTAAACAGAAGATAAAGATGTAGTTAAAATATTAATTTACCTGTAAAACTATATAACAACCAAAAAAAAATAATACTAATGCTAATAAGAATTTTTTAGAACCCCTCTTTTAATATAAAATTTTCTGATAAGAGCTTTTTTATAAACTTATATTATTTTTTTTTTAAAAAAAACTTACTTGTTTCTAATATTACTCTAAATTATTATATTAATATTATTTATATTACAGGTTCTATTGAAATTTAATTTTTTTACTAATGTTATACAAATATATTTTTTTTGATATTAAAGACATATGATTACAAATTTGTTTAATAAACAATTATGGTATATGTTTATAATTCATATGAAAAACCTTTTTTATGACCTAAAATATTATAGCATTATATAAATAGAATTTTATGTAAATAGAATTCTTTTAAAGATCTCATTGTATTAATTAAATTTTATTATTTTTTTATTTTTCATTCAAAATTTTGAAAATAAAATGAACCAGAATAATTTAGAAAGCTAACTTAATTTTTTTTAGATAATTTTTAGGATATCAATGAATTTTTTGATAATATATCTGATTTAGAAGAAGATTATGCTTTTTTATATGATAATAATATAGTAAATAAAGTATTTACTTTATAATAAAAAGTTAAAATAGCACAGATAGTAGTGACATGAAAGAGATTTTGAGAAATAATTCTGATATTCATTCAGAAAATACAGGATTAGAGGCAGATACAAATATAAATCAAATAATATCAAGTCATTTGTTACCATATGCAGTGATAGATTTAAAAGATGGAAAATTATAATATTGTAAGAGCATAAATAATCAGCGTAGGCTATAGCAGTTGGTTAAAATATGGTAATTAGATAAGTAATTAGTTAAAAAAATGGACAAAAATTTAGAGAAGCTTAGAATTTATTATAATTATTTTATGTTTGATCAAAATAAGTTATATTTGCAGGATACTAAACAATCAAAAAAATATCTAAAAGTATTATTATCTATAACTGCAGATGCAAATTAACTATTATTTTTTAGTAGAGGCAA